CTCAGTGCTCCACCTGTTGAATGCTATGCAATCAGCCCTGCTGTTCTGAATCAGCATGGAGGTCTGCATATCTGATTAAGCCACTTGTTAAACCGTGTGCATAGTTTACATTTACAAATTTAGCTTAATTTATGCTTCATTCACTTAATCTAAAATCTTGCCACACAGTTGAACTGTAACCTGCAGTTTTAGCATGAAAAGTAATTGGAATAAACTGCTGCAGGTGAAAAGTTGATACAGTTTACTGCAACAACAGCAATTTAAGGTCAGGCCATCTATAACAGTTGTGTGGTAGCGTTAATGAGGTTGGGAGAAGGTTCCTTTGTTTCAGTATATATGATACTCTTTAGTATATGAACACACTGGCACACACAGACACACGAGTACAGAAAATCCTGGGATCCCATCTGAATTTTTCCCAGGAAACTGAATCAGATTTTGGCAAGAAATCACAAGGAATACTGGGCCAACTACCTCTGGCTATTCAGGAGGGTCAGGTCTGAGCAGAGACTAGAGGTCTGAGCAGAGACAACAAAATACGGAGGAAAAACCTGTTTGCATATAATGTGGTCTTAAAACATCCATCATGTGAAAATAGGGCTCAAAGCAGTTACACAAACAAACAAACACATACACTTACATACACAAGTACATAGTTGTTGAGGATTATACTATACATTGTGCATTGGTTGGCTTTTAATACCTGTTTCCTCTATTCTGTTTATAATAAAAGAGATACCCATAAGCCTGAGAGAACCAGCTTACTTTGTGTGATGAACTACTGGTCCAAAAAATTTACAGAGAAGATGAACCAGTTGCTGCAAACATGGGCTGCTTTTATGTCTGCACTTATCAGCAAAGTTCCTGTGTGGATTAGTTCTAATCCCCTGCCATTATAGTCACAATGGTTTCATTAAATAAACCGGCATATTGTAGCAAAAATGTGTTTGTTATATAATGAAACCGCTGAGGATATGCCAGGAGGATGCAATGACGAATACCCAAAATGAAAGACGAACATTCAGCGTGGCTTATAAGACTAATAACACACTGACTAGCGTGTTATGGCACCAGATTATTATAGTAGGAGAAAAGGGTTTTATTTTTTGTGTTATTAATTAAAGTTCAAACTAATGGAATTGGTCAAATGAAGACAAAAAAATAATAAATTAAATAATCCAAAAATGGCTAGTATGCATAAGAGCATTAAGGCTTTGGTGTACCTAGCGATTTCCAAAATATGGTTTTATGTTCAACTGTATTCAAACATTTCATGGCTGTGACTTGCAAACACATTAAGGTACTTAGAGGAGTTTATAGTATATAAATGAACAGATGCAAGATGTTTTATGTAAATTAATGTTGATATTGTGTAATTGGAGGATGTTGAAAAAGACATGACATATGACTGCTATAAGAGTATGAATCATTCTTGTGTATGTACACCCGTATATGCACAATGTCTATATTTCTATAGTGCTCTACTATTTACATCATAATTGGTCAATGAAATAAACATTTTAAGAAGGGTACTCTAAGTGATAATACAAAATACATGGCAAATGTTGTACTATAGTTTCCTTTGGAGTGATAAATGATATCCACGTTCTGATGTGTTGAGTAAATAGAAACACTAATGCACAATGAGCCACACAATGCAAGCAATTTTCATTTAAATAATAGGCATTCATGGTTATCCCCTGCTTTCAGTCTTTATAGCTATAATTCTTGACTCCAACTCCATACTCAACATACAAGCATGATATTGAACTATGATACTGAAATTAAACCCCTCATCTCACTCTCAGAAGGAAGGAGAATAGGTGTATTTCTCAAATTGTCAAACTGTTTCTTTAACAAATACTGTAGGCTATATAATCTCCAGATACAGTACATGTGTCTTAGTTTTAGACAGTAAACCTCAATGTGAGATTTTTACATAAAATTGCAAGAGTATATGTTTCTCTTGATGAAATGAGACTCTTCACTTCTCTTCTGTCTGTCCCCCGACCACCTAAACTATTTAAAGAAATAAAAACAAGAGGAGTTCAACATAAAAATCTAATAAAAATTAAAACCAACTCCTCAGTAGCACAAAATAAGAGAATGAAATGTGGGCTGTTAAATATCAGGTCTCTGTCCTCTAAAGCTGTTCTAGTGAATGAATTAATATCAGATTATGATATTGATTTACTTTGTCTTACTGAGACCTGGTTGTCCCACGAGGAGTATGTTAGCCTAAATGAATCCACCCCCCCCAGTCATATTAATACTCACATTCCTCGAGGCACAGGCCGAGGAGGTGGAGTAGCAGCTATATATGATTCGAGCGTTTTAATGGACCCTAAACCTAAACTAAATTATAATTCATTTGAAAGCCTTGTTCTTAGTCTTTCTCACCCAAACTGGAAAACACTGCAGCCAGTTCTATTTGTTATAGTGTACCGCGCTCCTGGACCGTACTCTGATTTTATATCTGAATTTTCAGAGTTTCTATCAAGCTTAGTCCTTAAATCAGATAAAGTAATTATTGTAGGTGATTTTAATATTCATGTGGATGTTGACAATGACAGCCTTAGTAATGCATTTATATCATTAATAGACTCAATTGGCTTCTGTCAGAGTGTAAATAAACCAACTCATTGTTTTAATCACACTCTTGACCTTGTTTTATCATATGGCATTGATATTGAACATTTAATAGTCTTCCCACATAATCCTTTCCTATCTGACCATTATTTAGTAACTTTTGAATTCATACTATTAGATTATAAGCCATTAGGCAAAACTTCCTACAGCAGATGTCTATCTGACAGTGCTGTAGCTAAATTTAAGGAGGAGATTCCTTCAGTGTTTAATTCAATGCCATGTCTGAATTTAACAGAGTCCTATAACAACTTTAGTCCCTCTGAAATTGATAATCTTGTCGATAGTGCTACAGGCTCACTACGATCAACATTAGACTCTATCGCTCCTATAAAAAGGAAATTATTAAAACATAGGAGACTAGCACCTTGGTATAACCACCAAACCCGCCAGTTAAAGCAAATAGCTAGGAAATCTGAAAGGAAATGGCGCTCTTCCAAATTATCAGAATATCGCTCAAATTGGCAAGATGATCTTAAGATTTATAGAAAGGCCCTCCGTAATGCCAGAGGAGCCTATTACTCAGCACTAATAGAAGAAAATAAGAACAACCCTAGGTTCCTCTTCAGCACTGTAGCCAGGCTGACAGAGAGTCACAGCTCTATCGAGCCACATATCCCCATAAACTTAAGTAGCAATGACTTCATGAGCTTCTTCTATAATAAAATTATTACTATTAGAGAAAAAATTAATCACCAACTGCCATCAACAGTTATCAGTGGCTCTCCAAGTTCAGGGACTTCTGTCAATGTAAACTTAGATGTATATTTAGACTGTTTTTCTGCTATCGATCTTCATCAGTTAACTTCAATCATTTCTTCATCGAAGCCATCAACCTGTCTGTTAGACCCGATCCCAACTAGGCTGCTTAAAGAAGTTGTTCCCTTAATTGGCACTTCTTTACTGGATATGATTAATCTTTCTTTATTATCAGGATATGTACCACAGTCCTTTAAAGTAGCTGTAATTAAACCCCTTCTTAAAAAGCCCACTCTTGACCCAGGGGTTTTAGCCAACTATAGACCGATTTCTAACCTCCCGTTCCTCTCTAAGATTCTGGAGAAAGTAGTCGCCAAAGAGTTGTGTGACTTTCTACATAACAATAGTTTATTTGAGGATTTTCAGTCAGGATTTAGAGTTCATCATAGCACAGAGACAGCTCTGGTTAAAGTTAATAATGACCTTCTGACTGCTTCTGACAATGGACTTGTCTCTGTACTTGTATTATTAGATCTTAGTGCTGCATTTGACACCATTGACCATGATATTCTTTTACAGAGACTTGAGCATCAAATTGGCATTAAAGGAACTGCCCTAACCTGGTTTAAGTCATACTTATCAGATCGTACTCAGTTTGTACATGTTAACGATGAATCCTCCATAAATACTAAAGTTAGTCATGGAGTTCCACAAGGTTCTGTACTTGGACCAATACTATTTACTTTATATATGCTCCCTTTAGGCAACATTATTAGGAATCACTCCATTAACTTTCACTGTTATGCAGATGATACGCAGTTATATCTATCAATCAAACCCAATGAAATTAATCAATTATCTAAATTACAAACATGTCTTAAGGACATAAAATCCTGGATGACCTGCAATTTTCTGATGTTAAACTCAGAAAAAACCGAAATTCTTGTTCTTGGCCCCAAAAACCTTAGAGACTCATTGTCTAAAGATATAGTCACTCTAGATGGCATTAACTTGGCCTCTAGCACCACTGTCAGGAATCTTGGAGTTATCTTTGATCAGGATTTGTCATTTAACTCCCACATAAAGCAGACCTCTAGGACTGCCTTCTTTCATTTACGTAATATTAGAAAAATTAGACACATACTATCACAGACAGATGCAGAAAAACTAATCCATGCATTTGTTACTTCAAGGCTGGATTACTGCAACTCTTTATTATCAGGTTGCCCCAATAAGTCCATTAAAACGCTCCAATTAATTCAGAACGCTGCAGCACGAGTACTGACAGGAACTAGAAAAAGAGATCACATCTCTCCTGTACTAGCTACTCTGCATTGGCTCCCTATAAAATGTAGAATTGAATTTAAAATACTCCTCCTCACCTATAAAGCTCTTCATGGTCAGGCCCCTTCATATCTTAAAGAGCTCATAGTACCCTATTACCCCACTAGAACACTGCGTTCTCTGAATGCTGGGCTACTTGTGGTTCCTATAGTCTCTAAAAGTAGAACAGGAGCCAGAGCCTTCAGTTACCAAGCTCCTCTCCTGTGGAACCAGCTTCCAGTTGTGGTTCGGGAGGCAGACACCCTCACCACTTTCAAGAGTAGGCTTACGACATTCCTCTTTGATAAAGCTTATAGTTAGGGCTGGATCAGGTGAGTCCTGAACCATCCCTTAGTTATGCTGCTATAGGCCTAGACTATCGGGGGATTTCCCATGGTGCACTGAGCTACTCTCTTCCTCTCTCTTTCTGCACTCATTCATGTCCCTTTAATGCATGTTACTAACTCCACTTCTTCCCCGGAGTTCTTGTGCTTTCTCGTCTCGCAGGTTCTCATGGATCCTGGTGGAGCCTCCTGCCATGGTCCTGCTTGACTGCCATTGCCAATACTGTTGTTGCTGTGCACCTGTCTGTCTGTCTGTCTGTCTGTCGCTCTCTCTCTCTCTCTCTCTCTCTCTCTCTCTCTCTCTCTCTCTCTCTCTCTCTCACCCCAACTGGTCGAGACAGACGACCACCCACCTAGAGCCGGAGGATCTGTCCTAGGTTTCTGCCTTTTAACAGGCAGTTTTTCCTTGCCCTTGTCGCCAAGTGCTTGCTCATGGTGGTACTGTTGGGTCTCTGTAATTAATGTTAAAGAGTTCGGTCTAGACCTGCTCTATTTGAAAAGTGTCCTGAGATAACTTCTGTTATGAATTGGCGCTATACAAATAAAATTGAATTGAATTGAAAATTGAATTCACTTGCTGATCAACTTGCTGTCTAAATTCACATATTAACCAGAGGCCAAGGCTGAACAGTTTGGCATTTTTCATTCTCACAAATCAAAATAGATTCAAATCAATTTTCTGCATTTAAATGTACACCTCAACACGTTATATCAATAATTCATACAGTGCAGAAAACAAAGTGGGATACATTATTCATGCACTAATGTTGCAGCAAAAAAACACGGTGTAAAGAAACTCACATATGGCTACGTCTGGCTCACTGTGCCTCTGTCTCTCCTCTTTGATTCTGTATATTCTGTGAGCATACAGTATGTGTCTGATGACGTAAAAATTGGTAATTAAGGATAGTGATAGTACTTTCGAGGCAGTGCTTGACTCATGTTTTTTTCTTGTGACACATTTATGCTACACTTGCAAAAAATGTGCTGGGCTTGTTAGCACTTGCCAAAGTGTGAACAGACATACTGCTATTGTCTTTTTTCGGGCTGCCATGTATAGCGCCTAATGTAACACAGTATGACACATGAAAAGTGATAAGTTAGTGATAAGAAAAAACATACCTGAAAAATCCAACACTAATTAAACAAATGAAAAAATAAATAATGGGTATGTATAATGGTTCTATGAGCAAGTTACAGATTGAAAGTATTTGTGGGACGCTAATCTTTTAACCTCATAAATGGAGTAACAGATGTAGACATGGACTAGCATCTCATGAGTTGGCAAATCGCAGCAGTCAGACTGGCTTATCTTCAGACTGCTGAATGCTACAATAATCTGCAGTAAAACCACGGCTGAGGTTGGATGTAAGACATCAGAGCAAATAATGGTGAATACTGAAGACACAACAGAGAAATTAGTTTACACTGTCTCAACCTACAGGTTGTTGTTTTTTTCTCCTTACCTCTATCTCAGCACTTTCCTGGTGAATTTCCACATAGAGTTCTCAAGCCGAGACAGTATAGGTTGCAGTCCACCGAGTGATGATTATCTGGAGATATATATCACTGTAATAAGAAAAAAAGAGGCAAGAGTCAGTCTTAAGTTGGTCTCAGCTCTCACTCAGCTCTCAAAGTCATAATTAATTGAATGAGAGTGGGAGTCTGTGTGACTAGTTGCCTCGTCACTTATGCTAGAGAGCCGACGCAGCTCTTTGTCCATGCCTCTGAGTCGCTAACTAGTGCCCCAATTACTGGTTGAGGGTGAGATCCAAGATGCACACAGAGACATGCTGCATCTGAGGACTTTTAAATGAGATATAAGGGCAAACAAAGAGTCTTCTGGGTCTCAATAATTGACAGATCATTCATTATAAGCACTGAACTATGCAGAGCTATTCACTTTGAAAAACACTCTGGAACAACAAAGCATTTGACAGATCAGCTTCATTCGTTGCTATGGATGTAGAGAGAAATTACAGACACGCACATATACAAACACATACTCAGATTCTTGCAACTTTAATCAGGACATCCATTCTTGCTTTATTACACCCGAGATTCTCAAACAGTTTAGCCTGAAGGCCACTCTTGGAAACTGACAGAGGGCCAGAGGCCAGTTAATATAATTGTCTGTTTTGGCTGTCAACCTTTCAACATTTTACTGTAATCGCTGCTCTCAAAATGGCAGGGCATGTCAGCTCTGGGTGTGATGCTGACAAAAATCTAAGAAATCATACACATATCATTCTTCATACCATTGCAGCAGTGTTTGATTAACTAATTTGCATTCCATCATGTAAGAGAAAATGACATGTTAGAGAACATAATATTCATGAATTAAGGTAATGAAAGAGCACTGAATTTAGTTTCCTGCCCTACAAAATTATGAGTAAGTGGAATAAAAATATATATAGACCACCGCCAACACTTCAGGCCACCATGGAGAAGAATGTGCTGTAAATAGTCTCCAACCAATTCAACAACAAACAGCTTTGTCCTTCACAAGCTTTTAATATTCTGCATGACTTACAAAATATTAAGGGATCCGCAGTTTGTGCTCAGTACGTTGCAAAGCAAATGAAAATAGTCAGCATTATCTCAAGATGAAAATGACACCTGGTAAGTCTGATAAACAATTATAGTATTATATTAGGTTCTTGAACTCAACAATGCAAGACAAGTCCTTGAATGTCTGTACAGCAAAAGCATGGCCCTGTCTCTTAGAAAATCACTTATATAGAACTAATTTAGTAAAAGCAAATACATTTCTAGGGAAACGTAATGCCAACTGAACAGAATTTTCTGTTAACATAATAAGGAAATGCTGGTAATCAACATACCTGGGAAGTCTCAAAAATAAAATAAAATAAATATAATAAAATTCTCTGACAATTTATTTCATTTGTTTTCTGGCAAAACAGGCAATATTGCAATACACTGCCCCCTAATAGTGACTAGAGGATTATTTAAAGGTCAGCAGTGACCTGAGACATAAGATTTTTATGAACATATAACAAAATCAAAATATGTCCCTAACCTAAACCAAGGAGTCATGCATTGGGTTTTCTTTTAGTTATTTCCTATTTTATTTTGTAATGCTCCTCTTGTAATACTCCTCTTGAGTCTTGTTTACCTTCACTTTCTGTCTTTGTCAGTTTTCCTTCTAAACTTTCCTTCCAGACTCTGGGCTGTGGTGTGACAGTCCTGCACTTTGTACAGCTGAGCCCTTGAGATGATGTTCATGATGTTGTCCTGAACATAATCCAGGCAGGTATTATGTTGTCATCACAATGTAAATATGATAACAATTTATTAATGTACAAATGTGATTTCTGGGAAACTTTTTCACAGCAGCCATTTTGACATGAAATAGTAGGGTAAACACAGGTGTCACCAGTGATACTAATTAAGGTTTTGTTCATTAGTTTTGCAGGAATTTCGTACTGGACCACTTCAGAAGTTCAGATATTTCACTCGAAACTACACATTGGAACCTCATGGTGACACTTGGGGAAACGTCAGAGGATCCGCAAATTTGTTGAATGAATGTCTGCACAAAAGGTTTTGCTAATCCAATCAAGAAATATTCTGATATTAGGATATATTAAAACATTTTTCTATTAAAACATTTAACCTGCTAGTGGCGCGAGAGGAAACGTCACCAAAGTCTATCCAAAATTTTGTTGTTGAGATATTTCTCTGATGGAATGTCAACAATAAATATATGAAAACAAACAGCAGTGTTTGAGGATGCACAAAGAAATGAGACTGAATGAATGAATTAATACATTTTTGAAGTTTTATTTTCATGCCAGGTCATTTACATCCCTCATGGGATAAGTTCGACACAGCAATCAACAACAAACTAAATATTCCAGTATGTACTGAATACCTACCAGCATCTAACAGCAGATATTGACATACAAATATGAACAACCTACATAATGTATAATGTCGCTTTAAAGCAAAGCATCTACCAAATTAATAAATGAATAAATGTGAGATATCCTACAATGGAAATTCTATAAATATATGCACACTGCCTCAAGTAAATACTAATATAAAAATAACATCTAAACAAACATAACCCAAACTAATTAAAAATCTACATTTATGCACCGATTCATGTCAGTGAACACACCCTATGTCTGATATGATTCATGAATAAAAAAAATAGTTTGGAACCCACATAAAGTATTAGGCTTTTGTCTGGTGACTTATTTTTTCCTGCTTTTCCGTCCTTTGTAAATATACAAACACAAAAACATTGTCAAAAACATTTTTTTGGCTTTTATTGTCTTCATTTGATAGGACTGCTGAAGACAGACAGGAAAGGGGGGCAGAGAGAGAGGGGACGGCACACAGCAAAGGGCTACAGGCCGGACTCGAACCCTGGGCCGCTGCAGCAAGGACTCAGCCTCGGCACATGGGTCACCAACTCTACCCACTGAGCTAACCGGGCACCCTATCCTTTTACTTTTAGACAAATTCAACACATATTTAATTTATAATCTGTCCCCTTGAATAAATAATATATTCTCAATTCTATATAAATGACTGGATTACTATTTTACATTTTGTACAGACATTCAAGGTGCCCAGACATTTGACATTAAACCACCATGTTTCTATAGTTGCCCAGAATGGACAAACCAAACACTGGCTCTATAGGGTTTTTCACATTTGTGGTGAGTTTTGTGACCACTTTAGTTACTTCTACACGCTTGGAAGGTGAGCAGTATTCAGTTGGTTGCAATCCACAACTTTATTGGTAGATGCCAGTAAATTCTAAACTGGTAGTTTAAGGCCCTAATTACAAAGTTTGCTAGAACTAATTCACGGTGCAACACTTACACACAGTTATCTATAAAGAACATGTACATACGTACAGTATGTGTGAATGTACAAAAATGATCTTTAATGTGGAGCGCTACCCTTGTTGAGATAATTTCTTGTTTAAAAACATAATTTGGCATCATTTTTATTGATTCTCATTGTTACAAGTTAAAAATGGGCAATATTCGGGCATCTAAGGACTTTAAACTTCTTTTTGACAGCATGTTTCATCAAGTGTTCTTTCTTTCCCTGTCTCTTTCTTTCTATGTCTGCAACTCAAGCCTGCATGAAAAAAGCGATGGCAGAAAAAAAGAACAACAAGCAGAGTATCAGCCTTTCTCTGAAGGTGGCATCCGGCCACCAAGCTGTGTGTAAGACATGGATGGACAGGTACATGCTGGGAGACTCTATAGGCTTCCAATGTGAAGCATGCTGCGAGCTTTGTCCCTGTGCAGGAAGTCCTACTGTTTGCCCTTGATACAAACAGATCTGTGAGAGACTGCAGGGATTATTGTTTGATAAAGACGAGAAATATTGTAAGAAATGTCTCTAAGAAAATCTTGTGCCCTTCAACTCAGGGTGTTCCTGAACTACGGCATGTAGTATGTACGTAGATCTATGTATGAAAGAAAGCCTGAAATAGTTGGATATAATTGAAACAATATGCTGTGCTCCTCCTCCTCCTCCTCCTCCTTGATTGGAAACTTTAAAAATATATCCATCTG